TCTTGAGTTTTTGACTAGAAGAATGAATTAAAGCTCCTTGTCTGTTTTGGGATCTATCTGTCACCTTCTCCTTCACTGACTCTTCCTGTGTTTGTATATATGTGTGTCTGACTGTCTCTTTCCGCTCCGTTCACACTCACCCCTAAATCCCATTGGGGATATCGTCCCATTCTGATAGGGAGCTCCGTTGATTCATTCTGACTTTGGTAACTTTCTGCCAAGGTTGGGGGCCGAGACCCTTGCTCTTGGGATTTAGACACAAGTCAAGAATTGCCCTCCTTAGGCCTTGGCTTTATCCCTCCCAATCAATAACTAATCAACAGTGAGTTGATCTTATTAGCTATTCACTGCCCCCTCCCAAACCCCAAACCAAGTTGACTAATGAGAGTGTTTTTAATTAATGTAAGGCAGATTAAAACTCATTACAGCAAGGTTATTGGTAATGAGATAATCATAAGGCAAGTTATTGAGCTGGGAGTAAAAATGAAGCTGGAGGAGGGGCAGGGAGACGATACCAGCTGTTTCTGCCATTTTTTGGGCAGAGATGGGTGGAGGAGTGGGAGGATACGCTGCAGTGACACACCCAAACCAGTCAGTGAAGCCAGGTGCTGGGTAAGGGCAGCACTCAGCTCTAATGAGCAAAGGGTGGTCAGTATTAGGGTAGTAGCAGAAGTAGGGAGATCTTTGGGGAAGAGAACCTGAAATTGGTGTATTTAGAATAGGCCTTAATAGCTACTCTTATGCACGGATGCTTTACAATTTAGATGACACAGCTTGAAATTAACTATTATTTCTGTCTATTAGATTGTGGTCCAGACTTGTTCAACTGAATGAAGTATAGAGAATAGATGGGCTCAAGTTATTATTTTTTTTTAATTTCATCTTTCAAGGAAGATTGATTTCTTTCCTCCCTGCGCCTCCCCCCCCCCTCTCTTTTCTTTATTCATCTATTGAGCACTGATTATATATACGTGAGGCCTGTGTTAAGCTTTTTATATATATATATATATTTATATATATAAAAAATATATATAATATATATATAATATATATATTAAAAATATATTTTTATATATATCTTAATATATTTTAATATATATATATTTTATATATATTAAAAAAAATATATATATTTTAATGGATTTTTTTTACAGAGAGGAGGAGAGAGGGATAGAGAGCTAGAAACGTCGATGAGAGAGAAACATCGACCAGCTGCCTCTTGCACACCCCCCACCGGGGATATGCCTGCAACCAATGTACATGCCCTTGACCGGAATCGAACCTGGGACCTTTCAGTCCACAGGCCGACGCTCTACCACTGAGCCAAACCGGTTTCGGCTGTGTTAAGCGTTTTTATTCATTGCTTCATTTGGTCAACCCAGTTATCACATTTCTCTTTTATTGATGAGAAAACTGAGGCTCCAAGGTTTAGTAATTTGGCCCTGGTTATATTGCAAGTCAGTAGGAAATCAGAATTTGAACCCAGGTCTTTTTTATTCCATAGCCAAAACAATTAATCATTATATTTTATGATCCCCCTCTTCTTGTATTCAAGACCAGCTCCTGCTTGCATTGGACTTTTATACTGCCTGTACTTGATTCAAGTTCCACGGCCACTCTGGTGACCTCTCCAGCACCCATCAGACCTGGGAGAGCTCGGCAGTACCTTTCCTGCCTGCCCTTGGTGATTTAGTTTCATGGGTGCATGTGCATCTCTTGGTCTACATTGTAAACCCTTGGCCCATGAGGACCCTGGTTGTACTTCCTTGCCTCCCCACAATGCTTGTACACAGAGAAATTCAATTGATGCCTCTTCCTGGCACCTGGGTGAGCACACCAAATGATTCACCAACTACTGGCTCTGGGACCTGGGGAATGTCACTGAACCTCTCTGGGGTTATTTTTTCATCCTTAAAGATACACATTAAGGTCATATTACAGAGATATTGTACAGATTTAAAAATGATCACCACCACCACAACCTATATTTGAATGTTTACTGTGGGCCAGAAATAGTATTTAGAAGAGGCACTAAATAAATGATTATCCCAGTGTTGGCAGGGATGTGGAGAAAAGGGAAATCTTGTGCATTGTTGGTAGGAATGTAAATTGGTGCAACCGCTATGGAAAACATTATGGAGGTTCCTAAAAAAAAATTAAAATAGAACTACCTATGACCCAGCAATTTTATTTCTTGGTATTTATATGAAGAAAATTAAAACTCTAATTTGAAAGTATGTAGGCATTCCCATGTTCATTGCAGGATTATTTATAATAGCCAAGATATAGAAACCACCTAAGTGTCCATGGATGGATAAATGGTTAAAGAAAATGTGGTACATAAACACAATGGAATATTACTCAGCCATAAAAAAGAATGAAATCTTGCCATTTGCACTAACATGGATGGTGAGGGCATTATACTAAGTGAAATAAGTCAGACACAGAGAGACAAATTCTCTCTTTTATGTGTAGAACCAAACCAAACCAAACCAAACCAAACCAAACCAAACCAAACCAAAACAAGACCAAGTTTACAGATACAGAGAATAACTTGGAAGTTGCAAGAGGCAATGATAGGAGAAATGGGTAACTTTTTTTTTTAGTTTAAATGAATAATTTTAAAAATGATTATTTATTTATTATAGTTGTTACTAATTTATAAACCTGAGCTGTTCAATATGGTAACCACTAGCCACGTGTGGCAATTTTAATGTAAATGATTTAAATTTGAATAAAATGAAAAATTCAGTTCCTCAGTTGTACTAGCCACATTATAAGTGCTCAGTGACCACTGAGGCCATGGAGCTACTGGCCGCATATTGGACAGTGCAGGCACAGAACACCTGCATCATTGCAGAAAGTTCTGTTGGACAGAACTGTTATAAACTGACTTTTGTTTACCTGCATGTCCCTCCTGGTATGAATGCCTGTGTAAGTGCTCAGAGAGATGCGTAGTTTGAAGGGTATGCAGAGGTCGGGAGATCCTGGAAGCTGTGCCTCTCACTGAGCACACTTGCATGGTCATGGACCGGAGAGAATGCCTGTATGTTTCCTGCTCCCAGCAGGCTTAGCTCTTTAAGGTACCAAATTAAATGATGCCAAAAGGCTGGGGGGTGGGGGGGAGAGGGAGGGTTGCACTGAGCCAGTAGTTTCTTAAAATGCTGAGTGGTACCTGCCTTCTGATCCCAAAGGACAGTGAAGCTGCAGGAGCCGGAGCTGGAAAGGACCCTGGAGAGCAGAGGGCCTGCTCTGGTTCTCAGAATGGTGTCATTTGGCCTTAAAAGAGCATTTTAATTTTTTGGTGAATGGCAGTGTCCCTCACCCTCATGTGACTGTGTGTGTTTATTTAGAAGCTGGTTGAAGGTGATTTTGGGGCCTCTTTAGTTGAAATATGAGTAGCAAGTAGATGCTGACTCATTTCCACGGATGATGGCTTTGTGAGTGTCTGACCTATAGTCACCATCAACCCACACTATGACACATGCAGGGCTTGCCCTGAGGTATACAGAGCGCACAGGGGACACACATGATTTACCTTAATGGCGGATGTGCCAAGTATCTGGTGAGTCAGTAGACTGGCCTTCCTGGGCTTGTGTCACCAGAGATGGCAGAGATGGCCCACGCAGAGCATTACCTAGACACCGTCCTGAAGGTGACCATCACTTTGTGCCAAGAGACACCCTACCTGAGACTCTTATGCCACAGATGAGGGGCAGCAGAACCCTGGTTCTGTTCCCTGGTGGGAAGGCTTGCAGGGTGACACTGATGTTTTCTGAGGGTTACCAAAGGCAGACAAATACAGATGTGCATTGTCAAAAGAAAATGGTAAAAGTGTTCAATATACGCGCACACGTACACAAACACACATACATACCTGCACACAAATACACATGTACACACATACACATGCATGCACTCACTTCCTTACGTATAAACCCACACACATGTACACAAATGCCCACACCATACACATGAATACACACACACACCCATGCATGTGGTTACATTCTCTCATTCTGAAATGCCCTTCTTTTTTACCCTAATCTATTCAAATTCAATTTCAGGGGCTAACCTTTTATATATGCCAGAGTGTAGTCATGCCAATAATTTGAATGGGGAAAATTCAATAAAAAGGATCACTAACTAGTAAGAGGTAATTTACTCCTAAAAGGAGTAAACGGAGATTCTAAGGGTACAGAAGTAGCAATCGCAAAGAGCAGCTGCTCCCGTTAGGGTCAAGGGTAGTGAACCAGGACAAAACTGAAGACTCAGCCCAGGGCTTCCCACCTGCAAGACTGCACTGCCTGGGTGGTGAGGAGATGTGGTGGGGGAAGCCTGTCTGGTGGCGGAGAAATATATTTTATTGATTTTTTACAGAGAGGTAGAGAGAGGGATAGAGAGTTAGAAACATTGATGAGAGAGAATCATCGATCAGCTGTCTCTTGCACCCCCCCCCCCCACCACTGGGGATGTGCCCGCAACCAAGGTATATGCCCTTGACCGGAATCGAACCTGGGACCTTTCAGTCCGCAGGACGACGCTCTATTCATTGAGCCAAACCAGTTTCAGCAGTGACTATGTTTTATAAATTGTAGGCCCCCATATGGATAGTATTATTAATATGTCTGAGGGTTGGGTGGCGATGTACCTTTGAATGAATCATTAGTAGATGAAATTTGGTTAAAAGCCTTGAACAAACACTCATTTCTGAGGCAGTGGGGTCCAGACCAGGTAAGTTTGATGGAAAGGAGATCGGAAGCATCTGGCCATATGCGAAGGCCAGCCTTGGTATGAGATTGTAATTGAGTGCTCTGGGTACCATGACTGAAGGAGAACACTGCTAGAAGAGGTGAATGAAGGGGTATGTGTGTGTGTGTGTGTGTCTGTGTGTATGTTCTGAGGGTAAATTAGGGTTCCCAAGCAGAGGGACAAGAGGGTCAGTGCCCACTGGACAGGGTCCACTCACACCTCTCGGGTCTTGGCCTGTCTCCCTGCAGGTGCACCTCCGTTCTGCCCGGCGTCTCTGTGAGCTCTGCTGTGCCAACCGGGGCACCTTCATCAAGGTGGGCCAGCACCTGGCAGCCTTGGACTACCTGCTGCCTCAGGAGTACACCAGCACACTGAAGGTGCTGCACAGCCAGGCCCCGAAGAGCAGCATGCAAGAGGTCAGCCAGGTCATCCGCGAGGACCTGGGCAAGGAGGTACCCGCTGCTGCCAGAAGGGCTGGGCCCTGGGACGGTATGCTCTGGAAAAGGCCCTGGCAGATTCTCGCTGCCAGGTGCTGAGGACCCACTGCTAGTGCAGAACCACACTTCACACAGCTTTCAGTGCTCAGATCAGAGGTTAGAAGGAACCAGTGTTTCTCAGTAAAAAATATCAGTTGGACCATTTGAAAGAAGTGATACTCTACTGCAGCCTAATATGATTGGTTCAACCTAATATCTATCAACTATTGAGGGTTTCTCATGTGCTGACACCTGTGCTGTGTTCGTCCCATGCACTATCTCACTTAATTCTCTCGCAAACATAAGAGGTAGGTACTGCCATTGACCCCATTTTGCAGATGAGAGATGAAGGCTTAGGTGCTAAGGTAAAATGTCCAAGGGCACTTTAATACGTGATGCCAGCATACTGCTCTGTAATTCGGTCAGTGGGCTGGCCACATCATTAGGTGGATTGGCTTTCCCGGAACATTTCTGGCAGGCAGCCATCAGCCCCTGCTTGATTACCTTCAGCGATGGGAAGCTCATTCTCTCATCTGCTGCCCTCAATGGTCTCTTCTTTTGTTAGTCATCTCTCATTATAAACGTTCTTCCTCCTAAGGAAGAACCTGCCTCCTCCAACCTCACTTTTCTGATCTTTATTCTGATGCTTAGCGCAACAGAGAAGGGGCAAGGGGTCCTTCTGTCCACAGCCCAGATCACATTCCGTTGGACTCCTGCTAGTGATCTGCAGGATGTATGGACCCTGGACTGGGCACAGTGGCACGGGCCCTCGCTGGCCTGTTCTGGTCGTCTTGCTTCTAGGGACAGGGAGGGGCTTGAGCAGCTGTCTTCAGGTTGCTGAGCTGTGGGTTAGGCCCAGCCCTACAAATTGTGTAGGCTACCTCAGATATCTCTACTAAAAAGACTTCCTCTCTGCCCTCACCTATTACTCTCTTTGCAATTCTCCTCTTTGATAGAGAATCCTTTGGGTCTTCTAGAATTCTTTTTCTGAGCAAAATAATTTTAAAGTCAAGCCCCTAGCAGCTAATACCTTTGCTGAGAAGTGTTTACAGCCTTTGATGCCTCCCATTTGCCGGGTCCACCTCATCCACTTTCAACTTGCCCATCCGTTTCATGACTATGTCTGGGTCAGGCACAGTGGCTTTAGAGTTTGGGCTCTGGAGCCATGGGTGTGGACCATGCACACCCATGGTTATTTATTATTTATTTGGCTCCTCACTTTTCTCATCTGCAAGATGGGAGAATATGTTCTCCTCATAGGGTTGTTGTGAGGATTAGACGTGGTAATGAATATAAAGTGCTGTAGAGCCATCCCTGTCAGACCCAACGTGTACCCTTAGCCCTCAGTGCCTATGCATGGTCTTCCTTCTGCCTGCAGTGTCTTACCCCATCCTCTCCCTCTCAAGGGAGTCCTTGTGTTCTTGACCATTCATTCATCTATCCTCCCTTCTACCAAATGCCAGCACAGCAGTGAGTATCCTGACCAAAGCTTAGCTCTCCTGTGAAATCATCTGTGATCTCTGCACAACTTTGCTTCCTCTACTTGTGCACCTTGTGGCTTGGTTAGTTATATCTTGGAGGTTCCACTGCAGGCACTAAAGTTTTTGGGGAGAAGATTCTTATGGTTCTTTAACTCTGTATCTACAGAACAGGATCTGGTGTCAGTGGGTGCCAGCGTTCGTGTAATGCACTATTGGAGGGACAGCTTCCTCAGGCTACTCGGGATGGAGAGTCGGGACAGAGGCTTCATAAAGACCAAGTGTTCCATTTCTTTGGTCTGCATGGAGCTGGCCTGGATATTTGTCTCTGAATGTAGAGCTGGTATCGGATTCCTAGCATCCAGCCAGAGATGTCCCACTGGCCTAGAGGGGGCCTAGATCACACAGGAGGGGGAGCATAGAAACCTTTTGGATTTCTTTCCCACTGAGGAACATGGGGGAGATTGAGCGAAGAGCTGGAGTCAGGAGCAGGCTGCAGGGTGGGAGGAGCAGGGTTAGGGTGGAGGGACCCCAAGGAGAGGGGAAAGGATTAGCACCGTGGAGGCTGATGCAAGGCTTTGCTTCTTGCAAAGACTCTTGGCTTCCCGCTTCCAATAGCACGAGATTCACCCCCAAATTAAAACTAAATAAATCACTGTAATCACAGTGTGAAGAGCATCATTGCTGGCATGTGGCAGCTCAGAGCGGTGGCTGCGAGGGAGGAAAGCTAGAGATTAACCCTTGGAGGTCGATTTGTCTGTGGATAAAGACCCTGATGGTGCTTTACCGTGTACCTACAGCACCAGAACAGTATCTGGTATATAGTAGGTGCTAGTGTTTGTTTAATAAATCAATGGATGAATAAGGGACAAGAGGGAGGCTAGAGCAGGTCAGTGGCTCTCTCTAAGCCATGATGGAGTGAGATGAGAAGTTTAGGGTGTCAGCAGTCATGGTGGTCCCACCCAGCCGGCCAAAGGATGCTTGGGGTTGGAAGATGTCACCTGCATCTTTGGGGCCTCTTCTCCAGGGCTCCTGGCCAAGTAGTCCTGAGTGTGGTGGCCTGTGGCTCTGCCCATGGGTTGTCTTGAGCCCTCTGAGAAAGGGCAGCTGATGACAAGGTCACGGTTCTGTGGTGGCATTTCTCACAGCTGGGAAGCTCAGAAACCTCTGGTTTCTTACCCTGGCCTCCACAGGCACACAATCAAAGCCTTCCCTCCCATTCCTCCTCCTCCTCCCACCCGGGAAGATGGCATTTGTTCCCTGTGACACACTTTCTCAGTCTGTGGGTGGAGGGAGGGGAAAGAGGCTGGGCGGGGAGCAGGGTGGGTGGGTGTGGGGGTGGAGGGCGGAGAAAGTCACTCACTTCTCACTTCCCTCCTCCTCAGCCCCTCCTGTGACACTTCTCAGGGAGCAGCTCTTCCCCCAGGAAGATGTTGGAGTGGCCCCACTGACCCTGGGCTCCATGACTGCCCTGGGACCCTCAGTGGGAAGGTCCATTTCCTCCCTGGTTTCAGGAGCATGGTTAATAGAAGCTGATCCAGAGTCCTTGGATGAGCTTTGAGGTTACCTGGAACTCAAAGACGGCGTAGCATCCTTAGATCTCAGACTGGAAAGAAGGGCCGGTGGCTCTAGGCTGGTATGTTTCAGCCTGGGCTGGTTGGTCACAGCTATGCCTCTTGGGGACCCTCCCATTAGCAGCGATCTTAAAGAGTCAATAGTGCCATCAGGCCAATCCCTGTCCAAGGTGGATAGGGCTGGCCCTGAGAGGTGTCCAGACTTGGGAGTTGGGGGGTGAGAGTGAGGTTGTATGATTTAGAGTCAGCTCTGGATCAGTCCAAGTCCCTAGGCTGCAGCCAGTGCCGCAGTGTAGAGGTGCGGGCAAGTGAGGGGATGAGGGAATACCATCCTGGCATAAGGATTGGCGTGGGCAGGAAGTGTGCGGCTGAGAGGCAGGAACCATAACAAGATCTCAGATCTTCTGATACCCAGGCCAGTGCTCTGTCTTTTATGTAACAAAACTGTTCGGCAGAAATCCTTTTGGAAATCAGTTTTCTATGTGTTTGCATGTGTGTGTCTTAGAAGTTTCTCAGCTAATGTTACTAAAAATAATCTTACTTTTTTTCTTTTTCTTTTGAATATTAGGCTTACATTTGGATGGACAGGTTCTGGGAAGCAATCAGGAACCCAAACTCTAGAAGGTGGGGTTGTTTCTGCAGCCTCAAAAGTGACCTGGGTCTGAGTGGGTTGGGGATGGTCTCAGGCTTGGTGCCCTGATTGCCCTTGGGGCTGCAGGTCCAGATGTGGTGCTGACCTTGGCCAGCAGATGGCGCCTGAGCCTGAGAATCAAGGAGGGGTGTTTAGGATCTGGGCCTTCCCTGCTGAGGGTGTTTAGGATCTGGACCTTCCCTTCCCTTCCCTCACCCTTCCCCGACTCGTGGATGAGACTCAGGTTCCTTTTACTCCTGGGAAGGGTCCATGCTGTGGAAGGAGCCCAAGCCAATGCCTCTGCACCCTGAGTGGGAAAGACACAGGCCTAAGCCATGAGGCCTTTGGCTCTGAGCTGGAAGGCCTGGTAGAGTTCTAGCCATTCTTACACCTTCCCTCTCTGGGTTAGGCATCTTCTGAGGTCCCCATCCAGACTCAGTCTGTAGTTCTGTGGTTTAACACCATTCCCTTGGTTCTTCCATTTCTTGTCTCTCTTTGTTATACAAGCAACTGGCATTTAGTGAGAAGAGCACATTGCTGAAAGCTGTGGGTACAGCCAGGACCTACTTATGACCCCTGTAGTCTGGGGTCATTGAGAAGTACGTTCATCACTGTAATAATTGGCCATATAAGTACCCATGGAGTTTGCAGGAGAGAGAGGGAGAGAGTGTGTGTGGAGAGGGAGTAGGAATGGGACAAGAAGAGGGAGAAAGATTACGTTTGGGTGGATAGGGGCTTTCTGGAGCAGGTGGCATCTGACCCAGGCTCTCAAGGATGGGTGAGATTAGAGGAGATGGAGGTTGGAGGAGAGGATTGCTGAGTAATGACTAATGAGATGGGCTAAGCAAAGGTGCAGGCACGGGAAAGCATAAAGCACAGAGAGTGCATGGAGAATGGTCTTGACTAGAATTTGTGCAGTTGAGGTTGCAAAGTTGGGGCTGAAGTCACATTATGAAGGGTCTTTGAATGTTCTTTTCGTAACGTAAGCCCGAGGAAGAGGAAGACTTGGTGAAGGATCTGAGCTAAGTAGGATGGAGTGGGACAGATTTAGTAATATGGGAGATGAGCTCATCCTTCATAGGTGGGGAAGATGGAGGCAGGAGGTTTGTGGTTTGGTGGAGAGCTAGGGAATAGGAGTCACAAGGGGGATTTAGGAAGAGATGATGGAATTGTTGACTTTGGTCAGGGGACAACATATCCCTCCTTCTTTCCTTCTTCCCCTACACACACAGAAAGCCCAATATCACTACAGAACATTTTAGTAAACGATTCAGTTTTGTTTATTGTTCTGGA